CTCTCCCTGTACTCGCGGTCTTTTTTGTTTTTTTCTTTAATTTTTGTACATTTATCACAGCCACATTCAAGAAAAGGGCATTTATTTTTGTGGCCCATCACCGCAACATCTATATTATGATTTGCGCAAAATCTGCAGCGTCAACGTTTGCTTGGCTCCGCCATTTCCGCCGCAAGATTGAARAGAGGCATCTGGCAAACAATGGGATCGTTTTGGCGCGAAACTTTCTTATGTCCAAGAATCCAGTGTAAAATAAGATTACCCTTGCTTTACAGTGAAACTGTAGATATCRGTAAGATCCCACAATTGTCTTTCACTGATGTGGAAGTGTATGCAAAGAAAACCAGTTCGTGCAATTCTACACAAAAAGCTTATAAGTACTTCGCGGAACCAGGATACCTTCACAATATAACTAGTAAGTAAAAACATTTATTTTATATTTGAGATTTGGATTATAAGTTTGTCTTATTGTTTCTTTTGTATTTTTTAGTCAAATGCACYGATCAAGCTGCAAATATCCAGTCGCTCTGCCATTGATCAATGAAAAAGAATGAGCATCCTCGCATTCTAAATGCTTCTATTAATCTACTATCCAAAGAAATTTCAGGAGAGTGCTCCTGTGTTGCAGGGCTTAGTGGTTTTTGCCATCACGTTTTGGGTCTATTATTTTTGGTAGCCCATTATAAACAACTGGRCCTTAAAAGTATTCCAGACGAACTAACTTGTACAATGAAAACCCAGARGTGGAGTATACCAAGAGGGAAAATAATCGAACCAAAGTGTGTAGACAATGTCCTTGTCAAAAAACCTCARTCTGGASCTGACTACGATAAGTTCATAAAAAGTACTCTGTACTCYCCATGCTCCCAATATCTTTTGTTATCTGGACCAAAGGAATTTGAAACACTTCAAATGTTAAAGCCACAGCCAATAATCACTACTATTCTTCCTGACTCAAGCTGTGTATGTAAACTACCTGCAGTAACAACTAAGTTTGGTTTGGCAGCCAAAGGAAGTGTTCTGTCATACCAACAGAAACTGTCTGCCTGCTATGTAATAAATGACTACAGTGAAGCTGAATTCCCTAATCTCCHTGTAAGTACCACGCCTAGATTTCTGAATAATGTATCCCTCTGCCTAGATGATGAGAAGTTCGCAAAATATGAATCGATTCTTATAACAAGTGAAATGTCAACAATCATTGAAGAAAAAACAYGAGATCAAGATGAGAGTGTCTTGTGGCACCATTTAAGGAAGACTAGAATCACTGCAAGTAACTTTGGTTCAGTTGCCAAGAGAATTGCAAATTTTGAAACTCTGGTGATGTATTTATGCACAAAAAGCAAAGAACAACAAAGTAAATTTATTTCCATGTGGTCTGGTCATCAATGCAGCATGTCCATGSCTTGGCTGCTCACCTGATAGAAAAGTTTGTGATTTTGAAGAGGAAGATGTAAGGAGTCGGTATGGTCTCTTGGAAGTTAAAGTTGTCAAAGAGGGTACAGAAAGTTTTGAAGATGTTCAATATCTAAAGAATGACCCTGTGAGTAATCAACTAGTGCTGAACAAAAAACACATCTACTATTATCAAGAACAGTGTCAGTTAGTCCTTACAGAGCTAGATTGGTGTGACTTTTTTTCTTACATTGATGATAATAAATACTTTTATGAAATAATAAAATATGATCCTGATTTTTTTCAAGAATGTAAAGGTTGACAATTTTTATTTCAATTTCTTTTTGTAAATATGGTTCATTCTTAATATATTGCATTGAAAACTTTTTAACCATGGTTCATTCATATATATTACATAAAAAAAATTGTAATCATGGTTCATTCATATATATTACAATGAAAACTTTGTAACCATGGTTCATTCATATATATTRCAATGAAAAATTTGTAACCATGATGGTTCATTCATATATATTACATTCATTTGAAACATTTGTAACCATGGTTCATTCATATATGTTAAATTTGTATCAAATTTACAGAAATATCAGAAATATTCCTGAGATCAATTATTTTATGTGCATTACCATTGCTTGTTTACTTGCAAGCATGCAATACCGGTAGATATTACCCAAATACTATTTTCAGCAAAAAAACTACAGTCTCCATGATTTCAGTGTCACACAATTCAGGTTACTGAATAATTCATAGATTAATACAGTCATGTATTATAACAAACTTGTGCATTTTGTACATTTCTCAATAGAATAATTGAATGTCATGCACAAACATTGAAAGTGTGGAGCATTWWATAAACATGAAATATTGTCCTTTAGAAATTTATCATTGCATGATTTAAAATATACATARATATACATGTGTACACACTCATACACATGAGCAACCAATTT